CAATCTACTTCCATAGTGATACTGCCTCGGAAACCCAAGGAGGGGTCTCTATGAGTCGGGTCTGACTCGACGGCACATAACAACAACAACAACAACACTCTGGTGGCATAGTGCCTAAGGCATTTGACTACTAACCAGAAGGCTGGCAGTTCAAACCCACCAGCCATTCCTCAGAGGTAAGGTTGGGCAATCTACTTCCATAGTGATACCCAGAAACCCAAGGATGGGTTCCTATGAGTCAGAATCAACTCAACAGCAGTGGGTTTGGTTTGGGTTTTTTTGGTTTCTACTCTGGTGGCATAGTGCTTAAGGCATTTGACTGCTAACCAGAAGGCTAGCAGTTAAAACTCACTGGCCACTCCTCAGAAGGCAGATTGGGCAATCTACTTCCGTAAAGATACCGCCTTGGAAACCCAAGGAGGGGTTGCTATGAGTCGGATCTGACTCTACAGAAGTGAATTTGATATTTTTTTCTACTTTTCCAAGCATGATGTCCTCTAGGGACTAGTCCCTCCTGATAATATGTCCCAAGTACATGAGATGAGGTCTTGCTATCCCCATTTCTAAAGAGCATCTGGCTATATTTCTTCCAAAACAGATTTCTTCATTCTTCTGGCAGTCACCCAGTGCTATAAAGTCATTGAATCCCCCTTGTTTATATAAGCTTGGATAAGAATAAACATGGAGTCTGTGTGTGGGTTGGGTGCAGTGATGGAGACTGAGGAGTGAGTGTGTAGGGGAAATCAGACTACCAAGTTTGTTGGGCTCCTATTTCAGCACAGCTCAAAGAGCTCCTAGACCAGAGGACTAGTCAGGAAACATGTTGAGGGTACACAGGTACTCTTCACAATGATTTCTGCCAAACTCAGGATCTTCAGCTTGTTTCTACTAAGCAAAAACAGGCTTACTAAACACAATTCCTGAACTTACTCCACAAAGACTCAGTCTCACTAATATATCTATCCCACTGGATAGTGCTAGTAAAATCTTTGCAAAGTATGTCCTACTTGTAATACTAGTATGTGTTGAACTTAAAAACAAATAAATGTATGTGATTTCCCTGCCAACTTTCACTTCTTTTCTGTCTGAGCTCATTAAACAATAGGACAGTCACATACAATGGTGCTATTTTGATGATATGATCAGCTCATAAAGGGTGAAAGAAAATGAAAATATGTAACAGTAACCAAACCACAATAGTGAGCAACAGTTTAGTGGAGGCGCGCCCTCTGCTGGACATTTTTATTTCTGCAGTTAACCGAAGAAAGTAACCCTTTCTGAGCTTGTAAGTTTATGTCCAGAATTAAAATTTATGAGGTTGATTATCTATTAAAAGACATTTTATCTGTTATAGATCTTTCCTTTAAAAAAAGACTAGCATTATGTATATGTATATGTATTATGTATATGTATATGTCTATGTATAAAAATTCGTTATTATTTACAGTAGCTCAAAAAAACTCACTGCCCTCGAGTGGATTCCAACTCAAAGCGACCCCTCCTTGGGTTTCTGCGATGGTATCTCTACAGGAGTAGATTTCCCAATCTTCCTTCCCAGGAGTGGCTGGTCTTCTGGTTAGCAGTCCAATGCCCTTGGCACAAGTACTATTACATTTTTAATAGTTAAATAACTTATTTATTATAATGTGAATTTTGTAATGATGACACCTAGACTATTTTTAAATATGTTCTTTGACTTCTACTTCAATGTTATAAATTAGTATTTTTAAGCCCACCTTTTTTAAAAAAAGCAGAACCTTTTTTCTTCCAAAAAAGGAAAATCATATAGAATCCAATATGCTGGGGGAAAAAAAGGATTATAATACAACTACTTTTGCTAGTGTAGGAATGAGGAAGACTTGGCTGGCTTCCCCCTCATTGTCCTCCAAAGCTCTTGAGGAATATCCATACATTCCAGTTTGAAAACTGTTACCTTGGTTTTACAAAAAACTATTCTTACAGCAGACACTGCCATAATCTCTCATTCTGATAGCTGGACCAACTGATGCAGTGTTAATATGGAGGGAGACACTATTATTTAAGAAGTAGTTTTATAATCCATTTATTACAACTTGAAATGTGTGAGACAATTTTAAGAAAATTGTGAACGTGTAGAAATCAAAGACTTTAAATTAGACAACCAGTTCACTCAAGAAGCATTTAGTAAGCATAAAGCAGTTACTGTTCAGTTGCTCCAGACTCGTGGCAACCCCATGTGTGTCAGAGTCAGACTGCTCCATACGATTTTCAGAGGCAGTTTTTTCAAAAGCAGATTGCCAGGTCTTTCTTTCGAGACACTTCTGGATAGGCTCTGACCTCCAACCTTTTGGTTAGCAGCCAAGTAAGTTAACAGTTTGTACCACGCAGGCACTGCTTTACTGAGAAAGCTCCTTGTTATGTGTGACTGTTATGTTATCTGTGACTGTCACTGGGGAGGGAAGAGAGATATTAAGGTGAAGATGAACCATCTTCTGTTCATTCATAAAACTTTCTTGTTAGAAAGGGAGATGAAATGGGCCCACAACACTGAAAGGGACAAGAATAAGTACCCGGAGAGAGTGCGTATAGTGCTATGTGGAGGGAGAGATGATTTGCAGCAGGAGAGAGCAAGAATAGACTTCTTGGAGGAAGGCCACAGGAGTTGGGCTGGAAAAATGAGGGCAGGCTTCCTAGCAGTGGGAGCCCAGGGAATGGGGGAGGCATATGGAGTGATGTATATAGAAGAACAAGGCTTAGGAGATGAGTTTAACTGAAGACTGGGTTCCGTAAAAGCAGTCAGAGAGAGGTGAGTTTGGCACCAAATGGTGCAGAGTGAATTACCAGGATAACCAACTGGATTCTGATAACAACTCTACCATACTTAGAAAATGTTGCAGTAAACATAAAGTAAAAATTGTATACATCATTGCATTTTTTGAACATAGTTCACCAAATGACTTGACTATAGTTTTCTTTATTATTATATGACATTTTTGCATTTTTTTTAGGCAGAAGCTGATAACATTGTGACTTTGCAGCCATTTAGAGATAAATGTGAACCTGTTTTTCTCTTTAGTCTTGTAAGTATAATATTTATCCTCTCAATTGTGTTATCAGACTCAAATTTACAGTAAAAGATGAGTAACACTGTATAATTACCGTGGAACTATTTACTGATAATAGTAATTATACATTTTTGTCTTATTTTTGCTGGTTCATTAATACACTTTATAACTCGATCTCCAGAAGCTTATAATGGATAGACTGAGGTGATCAGGGAAAAGAAAAACAAAATAGTACTTACCTTTCCTAAGGAAATAATCAGAGATTTGTACCATGAGTTGTTAGGTGTGAAAAATAGGAAATTTTGCTGAATAGCCCAGCAGAAGAGAATTGGTTATGAATATTCACAGACACTGACAGCAGGGAATATCCTGCAGCACTAAAAATCATGTCAGGGAAAAATATTTCATGACCCACTGAGCTGTCAAGATATAATGTTTAGTGTAAAGAGTGGGTACAAGTAGTATTTGTAGTATGACCACAATTTGATAATGTATATTGCTTTATCTCTGTGTTTACAGATGCATAGGAAGTGGATTGGCCAAAATGTTAATAGCAGTTTACTATATATAGTGGCACAAACAGATAAGTGCTTGACTACTAACTGAAAGTGTGGTGGTTTGAATCCACCAGAGACACCTTGGAAGAAAGGCCTGGTAATCCGCTTCCAAAATTCCACAACCATGAAAAACCCCATGGAGCATGGTTGTACACAATAACACATGGGGTTGGCATGAGTCAGAAGTTACTCAACAGCAGCTGGGCTTTTGTACAGTGGAAGGGTGCGTAATTGAAGATCTGGTGGCTTAATGGGTCAGGTATTTGGCTGCTACCCAGAAAGTCAGTGGTTCAAACCCACCAGCTGTTCTGCAGAAGGAAAATGAGGCAATCTACTTCCATAAATATTTACAGTCTTGGAAACCCAATGGAGGTAGCTATGAATTAGAATCCACTCAGTGATAGTGGGTTTTTTATACTTTTCTGTATGTTCCAAATATTCCATGAGAAACACATTAGTAATCAGAAAACATCTTAAGTGCTGTTTTTTCTAAAAAGAGAGTGTACAGTTAAGTGCTAAACTGTGTGGCTTAGACTATAATAGTTGCTCCAAATTTAGAGAATTTTGATTGCAAGGAAAGGCTTCACTGAAGATACAAGACTGTAATTGTTCTTCTCCTCTTGGGTATTCAAATATTTTTGTTAAAGTTATAAAAAGGAATAATTACTTAAAAATTTTTTCCTGGATATAATCTTTTGTTTTTCTTAAACAATACTCTTGTGATTGTTTCAAAGAATTGAATTTCTGCCTCAGTGGAGTGAAAAGCTTGTGCTGTAGATTTTGCTCTAAATTGGATTATGGAGAACTGGATGATTTAGATTAGCAAAGAAAGTCAGAAAACTTTTCTGTAAAGGGCCAGCCAAGAAATACTTTAGACTTTACCAAAATATCATCTCTGTCATATAGTTTTCCTTTTTTTTTTTTAAAAAAAAAAACCTTTAAAAATGTAAAAACAAACAAACAAACATTCTTACCTCCAGGCTGTACAGAAACAGGCTGCAGGTCCAATTTGGCCCTTGGGCTATAGTTTGCAAAGCTCTGGTGGCATAGTGCCTAAGTCATTTGACTGCTCACCAGAAGGCTGGTGATTCTAACCCACTCCTTGGAAGGAAGGTTGGGGGATCTACTTCCTTAGTGACACCACCTTGGAAACTCAAGGAAGGGTTGCTATGAGTCGGATCTGACTTGACAGCAGTGAGTTTGGTTTTGGCAGTGCACTGGATAAAGTGCTTAGTTGTCAACCCCAACTTTGGCCATTTGAATTCACTAGCCCCTCTGCTGGAGAATGATGTGACAGTCTGCTTCTGAAAACATTTGCCTCTTTGGTAACCCTATGGCACTATCTGCTCTGTCCTACACGGTCACTGTTAGTCAGAATGCATTGGATTTCCTTTTTTTCTTTTTTTTGGTTGGCCTACATATGGTGGTTTAGGGGATTGAAATGTATAAGTTCCAGAGGTAGAAATAAGCTTGGGAAAGGGAGGAGGAGCTTAAGGAGCAATTAGGAAAGTTGTTCAGTGCCTAAGGCATTGACTGCTGACTAGAAAGTTGGCAGTTCAAGCCCACCAGCCACTCCAAGGACGATGGGGCAATCTACTTCTATAAAGATGGGAAGTGACCCCCCCGTGGGGATCACTATGAGT